TGAAGGTTTGGCGGCATGATGGTGTGACTTGGACCCGGTGAGTGCCGCAACTTTCAAGAAGACATGGGGAGACAGGGACAGCCCGAAGGGCAGGACCTTGTACTGATATGCACGTCCTTCGAAAGCAAACCGCAGAAATGGTCCGTGGCACGGAAGGATCGACACATGAAAGTACGCATCCTTCAGGTTGATCGCTGCAAACCAATCTCGGGGACGGATGCACCCGAAGATGTGTTTCTGCGTCAACATCTTGAACGGTAACTGGTGAAAGGCCCGGTTCAAGACACGCAGATCCAAGACTGGTCGTAACCCACTGCCTTTCTTGGGTACAATGAAGTAGGGGCTGTAAAATCCCATCTTCATATTGGCTGGAGGGACCGGCTCTATCGCGTCCTTCGCCAGTAGGACTGCGATCTCCACACACAAGACAGGAGCATGGGCCGCCGTCACTCCCGTGAAGCAGATGCCACTGAACTTGGGGGGACGCCGGGTGAACTGAATCGCATAGCCGAGGCTGATGGTCCGCAGAAGCCAGCGAGGCGGGCTGGGTAGCGCAAGCAAGGTACCCAGATACTGTGCAAGCGGGACCAGCAGAACAACCACCATACCCGCAGTAGGTCAGCGAGGTGGAACGCAGGGACCCAACTTGGGCGGCTTGTACGGTACAACGCTTACCTGGTTCCACAGTTTGGCAGAGGGTGCGTGAGTAGGGTCCAGCGAGTGAGTAGGGACCAGCAGGTCGGTTTCTGGCAGTAAAAGGTGCCGGCCATTGACCCGAGGGTTGGTTCCCTGAGGGGTTTGCCACCACTGTAGACCCTCAGACCGCCCGTGCTACTGCCCGAAGTAGTCCTCGCCTGGCTGTCGCCAGGACGAACACTAGATCGCGGCAGAGGCAACGGAGCTCCAACCCCCTGGAGGAAACGGAGCCTGGCCCGCAGCTCTGAGATGACGTGTAAACCACAGCATGCCTGGAGACCTGTTCTAGGGGCACTCCTGCCCAGAGAAACGCAAGGTCTGAACACGGGGTGAAGGTTTGGCGGCATGATGGTGTGACTTGGACCCGGTGAGTGCCGCAACTTTCAAGAAGACATGGGGAGACAGGGACAGCCCGAAGGGCAGGACCTTGTACTGATATGCACGTCCTTCGAAAGCAAACCGCAGAAATGGTCCGTGGCACGGAAGGATCGACACATGAAAGTACGCATCCTTCAGGTTGATCGCTGCAAACCAATCTCGGGGACGGATGCACCCGAAGATGTGTTTCTGCGTCAACATCTTGAACGGTAACTGGTGAAAGGCCCGGTTCAAGACACGCAGATCCAAGACTGGTCGTAACCCACTGCCTTTCTTGGGTACAATGAAGTAGGGGCTGTAAAATCCCATCTTCATATTGGCTGGAGGGACCGGCTCTATCGCGTCCTTCGCCAGTAGGACTGCGATCTCCACACACAAGACAGGAGCATGGGCCGCCGTCACTCCCGTGAAGCAGATGCCACTGAACTTGGGGGGACGCCGGGTGAACTGAATCGCATAGCCGAGGCTGATGGTCCGCAGAAGCCAGCGAGGCGGGCTGGGTAGCGCAAGCAAGGTACCCAGATACTGTGCAAGCGGGACCAGCAGAACAACCACCATACCCGCAGTAGGTCAGCGAGGTGGAACGCAGGGACCCAACTTGGGCGGCTTGTACGGTACAACGCTTACCTGGTTCCACAGTTTGGCAGAGGGTGCGTGAGTAGGGTCCAGCGAGTGAGTAGGGACCAGCAGGTCGGTTTCTGGCAGTAAAAGGTGCCGGCCATTGACCCGAGGGTTGGTTCCCTGAGGGGTTTGCCACCACTGTAGACCCTCAGACCGCCCGTGCTACTGCCCGAAGTAGTCCTCGCCTGGCTGTCGCCAGGACGAACACTAGATCGCGGCAGAGGCAACGGAGCTCCAACCCCCTGGAGGAAACGGAGCCTGGCCCGCAGCTCTGAGATGATCATCTTCCCGCAATGGGAACATGACTCATCCGCAAACGCCACCTCAGCGTGTTTAATGCCTAGACACGTGAGGCAGCGATCGTGTCTACCATCACCCGGCGCCAGGTAACGACCGCATCCAGAAACGCACGGGTGAAACGGCATCTTTAAAAAGACGATCCATCATCTTTACAAAGACGCACCCGTGTAAGCTCTTTTAGAGAAATAGGCTCTTTCAGGGAAATGCTCTTTTAGGTGCTGAGACGCACACAAAAAACAGGGGGAAATGGCCGCTTGCAGCACGACAGGGGGTAGTGCAGCCTGAAGTGCGCAACCCACTCGACACAGGAACGACCACTGCTGAAGCACCATCTGCCAACACAAGAAGCTCCCTAGAGCACGCTAGTAACGCTGCCTTGTTATTCTCACTCTATGGTCAGTGGCAGCTGGATGCAATTATTGCATGCCAATGTGCATTGGCTCGTTTAGTTTACACTCGAAGTGGATTGGTCTCTCTAAGCGAGATCCCAATTCGTCAGTCACCGACGTGACGCCAAGAATGACCGACTGAAAGGGACCTCATGTGTCAAGGCTGGAAGTGGCCATTTTCCTGAAGCTTTTTTGAGCCAGAGACACAGTGAATTATTATTATTATTTTTTTTCATACAAATTTGAAATCTAGCTTTACTCACCTCTCAGAATGACTTTCTTATAATATTCTCCAATATCATCATGTTCTTATTTGGACAACATTTTAACTCAATTGACAAAATAATTTTTTAGCCCAGTGTTTCTCAACCCTGGTCCTGGGCATCCCCCAGCACTGCACATTTTGTGTGTCTCCCTAATCAAACACAGCTGATTCAACTCATTAGCTCATTAAAAGAAACTCCGGGACCTGAAATGGGTGTCAGATAAGGGAGACATACAAAATGTGCAATGTTGGGGGGCGCTCAGGACCAGGGTTGAGAAACACTGCTTTAGCCTATCTTTCATGTTCTGTTTTTATGTTTGTGGTCCTGGACAATTAATTTAAATATAATAAAATGTAATGTATGGATGTTGCAGGACATCTGACATTCTTTGGCATAAATACAGTTTACAAAATATTATGGGGGCGCAATAATCGGTTCCCCATCTGTAGCCTAAGCTCTCACTGCGTTCACCCCTCATCACACCACAGCTGTTTCCTCCAGCGAAAATGTAGCACATATGAACGCATACTTTATAAAACGATCATGTTGCCATTTTCATTTGGAAATGTACCTTTCAATATAATACATATTCCAGCGCATGTGGCAAAGAGGTTTGCATACTTAAGTTAAGAGGGTTGTACTAGAAATGCAAAGAGTACAATTTTGTGTTTGTACAGTAAACAGGTTGTGTGTGTGAGATCATGAATACTTGAATTTGGCTTATTCAGTTATATGTTATACCTATATGTAATACAGTGAAATACTGCAATAAGTTTAGTATACGAATCCTAATCACACATTTTTAATTTTATTTATATATATATTTATTATTATTATTATTATTAGGCTATTATTATTATTATTATTATACCCTCACTGGGGGCTGAGCCCCCCTAAAATGAAAATCCATTACCTGAGCAGATAAATTAGATGCGCTATTATAAAACGGCGCTCAGAGATGTGGACGGGGAAATCGTATATAATATAGGTGATTAAAATGCATACACTATAGAGGCCCGTTTCCGCCACTGAATAAAAAATATAATTCTGTAAGTCATAATAATGAGAAACTTTCTCAAAATTATGACTTAGTATCTCGTTATAATGAGAAACTTTCTCGTAATAATGACTTAGTTTCTCGAAATAATGACTTATTTTCTCATAATAATGAGAAGCTTTCTCGAAATAATGACAGCCTAATCCACAAAAAAGAGACTTCTGTTGGTCAAAGCCATGCAGGAACACCGCAAACATTGCTTTGTTCTGTAATCTAAAGTGTATCATGCTATAGTCTGTCATTAAATAACGATTTCAGATCAATGATCTGTATGTAGTCTTTTGTGTAATAGTTACTCTGCCAGATAGCTATGTCTTCAAACATTCCAGACCAATATTTCAGTTAAGAAATCCAGGCATTTTATGAAGAAATGAAAGCCATTACACATATAAACTTAATTTATAGATGTGTATTTCGATGAT